CTGGGCAGCCACATGCAGAAAACTAAAAGTGGACCCCAGCCTATCACCATGCACCAACATCAACTCAAAATGGATTAAAGACCTTCACATTAAACCTGAATCTCTGAAACTACTGCAGGACAGAGTAGGAGAGACACTTGAACTAATAGGCACAGGAAGGAACTTCCTGAACAGAGTCCCGGGGTCACAACAAGTTGGAGAGAGACTCGACAAATGGGACTACCTTAAAATAAAAAGCTTCTGCACAGCTAAATCTATCGCAACTAAGCTAGAAAGACAACCAACTAATTGGGAAAAAATATTTACCAGCAATATATCAGACAAGGGGTTAACATCCTGTATATACAGGGAACTCAAGAAACTAATCCCTCCCAATCCTAACAAACCAATTACTAAATGGGCAAGGGAACTAAAGAGGGACTTCTCAAATGAAGAAATAAAAATGGCAAAGAAACACATGAGGAAATGTTCATCATCCCTGGTGGTGAAGGAAATGCAAATAAAGACAACCCTGAGATACCACCTTACCCCAGTCAGAATGTCCCACATCCACAAATCAGCCAACGACAAATGCTGGAGGGGATGTGGAGAAAGAGGAACCCTATTACACTGCTGGTGGGAATGTACACTTATACAACCACTTTGGAAAGCAGTCTGGAGGGTCCTTAGAAAGCTAAAGATTGACCTCCCTTATGACCCAGTCATACCACTTCTAGGCATCTACCCTGAACAACAGGAACCAATATACAAGGACACGTGCACCTCCATGTTTATTGCAGCACTGTTTGCAATAGCTAGGATATGGAAACAACCTAGATGCCCCACCACAGATGAATGGATCCAAAAATTGTGGTATCTATACACAATGGAATATTATGCAGCCATTAGAAATGACAAAATAATGGCATTTGCAGGGAAATGGATGGAGCTAGAAGGAATCATGTTGAGCGAGGTAAGCCAAGAACGAAGAGACAAACGGTACATGGTCTCCCTCATAAGTGGATGCTAAATCCAAAAGGTTAGGTGATACGACAAAACTAACAGGACTTAAGAAACAAAGAACTCCCGCTCATCTGGTTGAACCACTACTAAATATCCCCATGCTGCTGATCACAAATATGGTATATAACATGTGAACACTGTTATATATTACAGACTGTGATAGACAATTTGCTCCAGGAAAGTTAGAATGAACTTGTGACTTTGAAATTATGTAATCACTTAATCACAATCAAAAAAAAAAAAAAAAAAAAAAAAAGAACCTCGGGGAAGGGAGGGAGGGAGGGGATGGTAGGGGGAAAACAATGGAGGGGGGTAACAATGTTCAAGAGGAAGTGTACTCAATACCTCACTCATGTAACTGTAACCCTCTGTATAGTATCTTTACAATAAAAAAAAAAAAAAAAGATAAACCTTTGAGCAAAAAATGCTAAGGGAAAATGCCTTGAGCTTGAGTGCAAGGCCCAGTGCTGGCATACACACAAAAGTGCAACAAGGCTGGCTTAGCAGAAGAGTGCTTGAAGGATTGGCTCCCATGCTGCTTTCCCAGGTGCATACAGATAAATATCAGGCAACCCAACCAAAGATAAGTGCAGACTCCCCAACTACAGCAGGACAATCTATCTAAGCCTGGTTGTAAACATTCAACTGTGGGCCCAACAGAAAAGTCCCCCTCCCCCCTCCCCCCCCCCCACCTGGCTTTTTCATTGACCTCTGCCTCCTTGTTCAGACCTCATAAAATCTAGCTCCTGCCTCAGCTTTGACACAGTCTCCAAGTCTGCGGGAAGGCTGTGTCCTTCACTGCTCTATCTCAATAAACAGACCTCACCTGTGAAGATTGAGTCTGGCCTGTTTCCTTCCTTTCTCCTCCAATTTCCTATCAGTGCTTACCTAGCATGCATGAAACCCTGGGTTCAATTCCTCAGTACTACATACACAGAAAAAGCTGTAAGTGATGCTGCAGCTTAAGTGGTAGAGCACTATCCTTAAGCAAAAAGAAGCTCAAGGACAGTGATGAGGCTCTGAGTTCAAGCCCCAGGACTGGCACCAAAAAAAAGTGCAATCAACCTCTGCAGCAATCTGGTCTGTTCAAGGTGCATATGACCCCTACAGAGATCTGAAAAACAGCTAGTCTTTTGTATGATGAGATATGTATGGGGACAAAGTGGTCTGGTGGGAAGAGAATGTTATTAAACATCTATTCAAAAAGGATTTAGGGCTGGCAATGTGGCTTAGTGGTAGAGTGCTTACCTAACCTGAAAGAAACCCTGGGTTCAATTCCTCAGTACCACATAAACAAAAAACAATCAGAAGTGGCTCTGTGGCTTAAGTGGTATAGTGCTAGCCTTGATCAAAAAGAAGCTCGGAAGCCGGACACTGGTGGCTCACGCCTGTAATCCTAGCTACTCAGGAGGCTGAGATCTGAGGATCGAGGTTCAAAGCCAGCCCGGGCAGGAGAGACTGTGAGACTCCTATCTCCAATAAACCACCAGAAAACCGGAAGTGGCGCTGTAGCTCAAGTGGTAGAGTGCTCACCTGAGCTGAAGAGCTGAGGGACAGCGCCCAGGCCCAGAGTTCAAGCCCTACGGCCGACCAAAAAAAAAAAAAAAAAGAAGTTCGGGGACAGTGCCCAGGACCAAAGTTCAAGTCCCAAGATGGGCAAAAAACAAAACAAAACAAAAAAGGATTATATATATTAAGAGATATGTTAGTGAAATAATCAGTAAGCTGGGCGCTAGTGGATCAAACCTGTAATCCTAGCTACTCAGGAGACTGAGATCTGAGGATTGTGGTTCAAAGCCAGCCTGAGCAGGAAAGTCTGTGAGGCTCTTATCTCCAATAAAACAATCAGAAAACTGGAAGTGGTGCTGTGGCTCAAGTGGTAGAGTGCTCACCTTGAGCTGAAGAGCTGAGGTACAGTGCCCAGGCCTTGAGTTCAAGCCCCAGGACTGGCCAAAAAAAAATTATTTTAAATTTTGGTGGGGTCGATGCTGTTTTAAAAAGTTTCATTTGGGACAAGGAATGTGGTAGAGTGCTTGCCTTAGCATGCAGGAGGCTCTGGGTTCGATTCCTTGGTACCAAACAAATTCTATTATTATTATTATTTTTTTTTTTTTTTGCCAGTCGTGGGGCCTGAACTCTGGGCCTGGGCACTGTCCCTCAACTCTTCAGCTCAAGGCTAGCACTCTACCACTTGAGCCACAGCCCCACTTCAGCTTTTTCTGCTTATGTGGTGCTGAGGAATTGAACACAAGGACTCACGCATGCAAGGCAAGCACTCTACCACTGAGCCACCTTCCCAGCCCCTAAATATTTTTTAAATGCTTTATCTGTTACAAATATTAAACTGTTTATACACGAACTACTAGGATTTGTTATATTTCAGGGAAAAAATGCTGGAAAGCAGAAGATGGAACCTTGTTGAAGCTCAGATTTTGAGTATACAAATTCATTGTAACTTCATGTTTATAAGTTCTCCTAATAAAAAAAAAATTAAATGATTTCAGCACTCAGGAGGCTAGCAAGTTCCAGGCCAGTTTAGATAAAAGAAACAAAACAAGTCAGGTGCAGGTGCTCATGCCTGTAATCCTAGCTACTCAGGAGGCTGAGGTCTGCGGATCACAGTTGGAAGCCAGCTGGGCAGAAAAGTCTGCTAGAGTTCTTCAATTAAATCACAGAAAAAGCTTGGAGTGGCACTGTGGCTCCAGTGGTAGAGTGCTAGCCTTGAGCAAAAGGAGCTCAAGAATAAGGGGGGGGGGGGGGAAGAGTGCTGGGAAGGTGGCTCAGTGGTAGAGTGCTTGCCTTGCATGCGTGAGGCCCTGGGTTAGATGCCTCAGTACCACATACACAGAAAAATCCAGAAGTGGTGCTGTGGCTCAAGTGGTAGAGTGCTAGCCTTGAACTAAAGAGCTGAGGGACAGTGCCCAGGCCCTGAGTTCAAACCCCATGACTGACAAAAAGAAAAGAAAAGAAAAAAGAATAACACCAAGGCCCAGAGTTCAAGCCTTAGGACCAGGAATAAACAAAAATAAGATTAGAAAACTCCAAAACAACAACAAAGCTAGAGGCATGGCTCAAGCAGTACAGCAAACTCAAAGCCCTGGGTTCCACCCTCATTCCTGTCAGAAACAAAACAAAACACAAGACAAGTAAACTGATCCAACTTCCCTTTGCCCCGATTTTATGCCCAGTAAGTAACGTTTAATCTTTTGTACACGGCAGTGAGGTGTACTCGGCCATGTGCACAGATCTCCTTTAGCCCACACTTTCAGCGCCGTTTCACCCCCTCCTCTTCCCCCCCCCCAGAATGGGAGGAGAGTGAGTAGGAGAGGCTGTGACCCAGCAGGGCCCGGGGGTGGGGAGGTGGGGGGGTGTTAGGGAGTGGGGGGGGTGGGGGGTGTTAGGGAGTGGGGGGGTGTTAGGGAATGGGGGAGTGGGGGGGTGTTGGGGAGTGGGGGTGGGGGGCGCGGCGCGGGGGCGCCATGCAGCAGGGGCGCGGCCACCTTGGCCTGTGTCCACACAGGAGTTCGGCTGGCGCGAGGATGTGGCAGCTGTGCCATTTACTTTGCATCCCAGGAGACACAAGTTAACCTAGATAGTTAGATCTTACGGTGGCGATTACACGCCAGAATCCAGACTGCCAGCCTCTGCACAAGGATCCGGGAGGCTGGCCTCGGCGGGACAGGGGGGACCGCATACGAAGGGGTTGCTTTTGCTTTGTGTTTGGCACTGTTCAAGCCATCGGAGCCACTGGGCCGGAGGAGCAGCGGCGCCCTCACCACCGCTGAACCCCAAGAACTCACCCGGTCCACCTTAGCCCACGGGGAGGGCACCGAGCCGCTCCCTACCCGCCGGGGAGGGGAGCAGGCTGTGAGAGCCCGCGGGCGAGAGGGGCCCAGGGTGTCTCAGGCCGGTGCGCAGGCGCGGAGCAGTGCAAGCCGGTTCCCTCGGTTTGGCTGGCGGCGTTGGTGCGCAGGCGCAGAACGGTGCGCCAGAGCGCGCAAGCGCACGGTGGCGGAGCGCGATGGCCAGTGCTGGGGTCTGCGGGCGGCCGGCGATGGGGCGGCCTGTGCTGCTGTTCCTTGCGGTGTGCGCTGCGGCCGTCCATGGGCTCTATTTCCACATCGGCGAGACCGAGAAACGCTGCTTCATCGAGGAGATCCCCGACGAGACCATGGTCATCGGTCAGGCGGGCTGAGGGTGGAGAGATCTTTGTTTTCGCCTGGCCCTTGGAAGCGCCCCTCCTCCCAAGCCCGGCCCCCTAACTGAGGGTGTCCCGAGGACGCCTGCCCCCCACCCAGCCCCCCGGGCCGCACGCTGGAGGGCCGGGTTGTGACTCTGTGTGTACCCTGCAGGCAACTATCGAACCCAGATGTGGGATAAGCAGAAGGAGGTCTTCCTGCCCTCGACTCCGGGGCTGGGCATGCACGTGGAAGTGAAGGACCCGGACGGCAAGGTAAGCCCGCCCGCCGGCAGGCATGAGCCGGAGTCAGCCGCTCAGCGCTGTTCCCCTGGCTGTGAGGCACCGCCTTGGCCCCGAGTCAAGGATTTGGGGACCCGAACTTGCACTTGGAGAGGTCGCAGTAGAGGTGGGACCTTCCCTGGTGCTTGTTGCAGGTGGTCCTGTCCCGGCAATACGGGTCCGAAGGTCGCTTCACATTCACCTCCCACACTCCCGGTGACCATCAGATCTGCCTGCACTCCAACTCCACTAGGATGGCTCTCTTCGCGGGTGGTAAACTGGTAAGAGGATTTCTCTTTAGCCTCAGCCTAGGATTTCTCAATTCCAAAGTTTTATTTGTTGCCATCATCTGTGACCCCTTTGATACAGAATCACAATCGAGGAGACAGATATTACTCTTGTGTGTGTATGTCTGCCCACCAGTCTTGAGGCTTGAACTCAGGGCAGGGGTGCTATTCTTCATTTTTTGCTCTGCCACTTGAACCACAGTGCTTTTTCTGAGTAGTTTATTGGATATAAGAGTCTCAGACTTTTCTCTCCAGGCTGGCTTCGATGTGTAATTCTAGGATTACAGGTATGAGCAGGTAATGGCAGGCTGTTGGTTACTCTTTGGCCCCACAACCAGGGACAGGAATAAGTTCCATAACTACAACAGTTAGAGGCCCCAACACTCAGATACCCTATTTTCCTTGCAGCGTGTGCACTTGGATATCCAGGTTGGGGAACATGCCAATAACTATCCTGAGATTGCTGCTAAGGACAAACTGACAGAGCTGCAGCTCCGAGCCCGCCAGTTACTTGATCAGGTGGAACAGATCCAGAAGGAGCAGGATTATCAGAGGGTAAGGGCATTTATTTCCTTGTTCTTGGAGATGACAGTTGGTTTTTTTTACACCGTACCTACTTGAAGTTTCTGCTTTAGCCCTTTCCTGCCATCAGAATGGAATGGAGGATATCAGTCTAAATACTTGTTTTTAGTTTTTTTTCACTTTTTTTTTCAGTGCCATCTCAGACCCTCTTAACCACACCCTAAGTATTTACTTTGTGATAAAATATACTTACCATAAAAGTTACCATTTTAATTACTGCTAAACATACCACTCTGAGGCATTAAGTAGATTCATACTGTTGTTCAGTCAGAACTTACAATTATCTGTAATCTGTTATCTCCTGAACCTTGTCACTTTCTTAAAACTATTAAACACTAACATCTCATTTCTTTCCCTGAGGCTGTACAGTTTTCAGTCTCTATGATCCTGACTTCTGGTTGGTTGGTTTGTTTTTGTCGGTCATGGGGCCTGAACTCTGGACCTATACACTATCCCTTAGCTCTTCAGCTCAAGGCTAGCACTCTACTACAGTAGCCACAGTGCCACTTCCGGCTTTTTCTGCTTATGTGGTTCTGAGGTATTGAACCCAGGGCCTCATGCATGCAAGGCAAGCACTCTACCACCGAGTCACCTTCCCAGCCCAAATCCTGACTTCTCTTAACTTGCATGAATGGAATCATACAGTAGCATCCTTTTATTATTATTTTGTGCCAGTGCTGGAGCTTGAACTGAGGGCCCAGTTATTGTTCCTGAGGTTTTATTTTGCGCAAGGCTAGTGCTCTATCACTTGAGACACAGTTCCACTTCTGGCTTTTTTGTAGTTAATTGGAGATACGTCTCACAGACTTCCCTGCCCAGCCTGGCTTGGAGCTGCCATCCTCAGATCTCAGCCTCCTGAGTATCTAGAATTACAGACATGAGCTAATGGTACCTGACCCTCCTTTAGCCTTTTTGCTCAAGGCTGGCACTCTTTTTTTTTTTTTTTTTTGGTCCACTGTAGGGCTTGAACTCTGGGCTTGGACACTATCCTTCAGCTCTTCAGCTCTTCAGCTCAAGGCAAGCACTCTACTGCTTGAGCCACAGCGCCACTTCCGGTTTTCAAGTGGTTTTATTGGAGATAAGAGTCTCACGGACTTTTCTGCTCGGGCTGGTTTTGAACTATGATCCTCAGTTCTCAGCCTCCTGAGTAGCTAGGATTACAGCCACTGGCACCCGGCTAAGGCTGGCACTCTTATCACTTGAGTTACAGTTCTACTAGCATCCCTTTTATGAATGTTACATTTAACCTAACATAATGCCCCCAAGATTTATGTTGTAATGTATGTCAGAGTTCCCTTCCTTTTTGAGGCTGAAAATTTTATTACATATACAGACACCAATTTTCTTTTTTCTTTTCCCTTGCGGTATGCAAAATCGAATCCAGGGCCTTGTGCATGGTAGGTAGGCACTCTATTACTGAGCTACAACTCTAGCCTTCTACTTTGCTTTAGAGATGTGTGGGTGCGTGCGTGTGTGCGTGTGTGCGTGCATGCGTGCGTGCGTGTGTGCGTGTGAGTGCCAGTCCTGGGGCTTGATCTGGGCTCCTTTTGCTCAAGGCTAGTGCTCTACCATTTTGAGCCACAGCACCACTTCCAGTTTTCTGATGGTTAATGAAGGTAACAGTCTCAGGTCTTTCTTGCCTGGGCTGGCTATGAATCTTGATCCTCAGATCTCAGCCTCCTGAGTATCAGGTAGGGTTACAGGTGTGAGCCACTGTCACCTGGCTTTAGTTTTATTTTTTGCCAGTCTTGGGGCTTGACCTCAGAGCCTGGGTACTGTCCCTGAGCTTCTTTTGCTCAAGGCTAGCACTGTACCACTAAGCCACATTCCCAGCCCCTGCTTTAGTTTTTTTTTTTTTTTTTTTGTATTCTATAAGACAGAGAAGAGAGAACAGTTCACAGTCTAGTAATAGCCTTGCCTACTTGTTTGCTTTGGGCTTTTATGTTAAAAGATAGCATGATTTTACTTCTACCAGAGATGCTTGTGGAGGGACAGCACTATCCCTTCCTTGAGACAGTCTAAGTGGAGAGACTGTGTTACCATAGGAGATACTTAGGAAGGTATTTGGTCCTAGAGTTGAACTGTCACATGCAGGGGATCTCAACAGTGGAGACTATTTCTACTATCCATGTGTCTGTGTTTAATGTTCCATGCAGTATCGTGAAGAACGCTTCCGTCTGACCAGTGAGAGCACCAACCAGAGAGTCCTGTGGTGGTCTATTGCTCAGACGGTCATCCTCATCCTCACTGGTATCTGGCAGATGCGTCATCTCAAGAGCTTCTTTGAGGCCAAGAAGCTGGTATAATATCCACTCAACATAGTCTTTCCTTTTCTCCTCAATTATTTGGTACTTTCCTCATCTAATCCCTTTCCCACCTAGATTTTGAGGGGAGGAGGGGGGGAGAAATTATTATGTCACCTTGGTATCCTGGCAACAGACCATTCAGATCAGCTCTTTGTTAGCCTAGACCTCACGGAGACAGTCCAAGCTTTCAAACTCTTAGGGTTTGGGAGGAGTTGGAATTAACTCAAGACCAAGTCCTGTTTCTTTTTCCTACACTGATTCCCACCCTTTCTCTTTGCTTACATAGTAGGCAATTGACATGCCCTGTGAAAAAGCCCTGCCTTTTTACTCCTGGTCAGTCCTGGGTTCCCTTAATGGCTTTGTGAATGTAAATAAGGGGCAAGTCTTGGCCCTAGAGAATTGAGATGTTTTTCTATATATTAGAACTATTTTTTGATATATATATATCTATTTTCTTTCTTCTTTGAAGTGTTTCTGCCTGTAACTAACACCAACCTAGTCTTTGTGCATTCTGTTTATTCACACATATTTTAATAACTGCCATGGCATCTCTCTGGATTTCATCAGATGTTAAATTGCAGATGCTAGATGCTAACGTCTAACAGAAAAGTGTCAGAAGGCCAAGCAGAGTTCTTGTGGACACTTGTGATTCCTATTCCACAAGGCCTTAGTCAGAGCTAAGATAGTGACAGAGCTGGCACAGGGCAGTACACTCTTTCTCCTCCCTGGTCTCCTGAGTTTTATTAACTGTGGTAAATGTTTTCTTCAAGGGAATCAGATTTGGTTCTTTATACAGATTTTTTTCCCCCAATGAAATAAAACATTGTAGTAGCTGTGTATGAGATGAAATAAACAGTTGTGGGCAGAGGGGAGGCAAAAAGAGAGGGGAAAGGTTCTTGTCCTGAACTGCTTATATGGATAACTGAAGTGGACTTCAGTTCATCAAGCAGATCTGCTCCCGGAGCCTACCAATGGATGGGGTATTGCTTAATTGTTTTCAAAGGTCAACCAAGTAGACAACGTGTCAGCAAGGAACTGCCTGAGTAAATGAAGTACTTGGTTTCTTAACCTCTGAATCATAAGCTTGAACAGCTCTTAGTACACTCCACTCATGTCTTCTCCTTTATGGAACCTCATACCATTAGTTGCCCATTCTTGACATTTTATTGCATAATTTTATTACATATTTATTTGAAATATTTATTAAATTTCTTTATCTGACCTACAGAACTAGATTTTTCCCTTGTCATTTCTGTGTTCTATACTATTTCATACATGTGTCTGTTTTGACTCTTAAGATGTATGCAACTTAGTTCTATACGCTTTTCTTTCTTTTTTTTTTTTTTTTTTTGCCCGGCATGGGGCTTGAACTCTGAGGTTGGGCGCTGTCCCTCACCTCTTCAGCTTAAGGCTCTACCACTTGAGAGCTACAGCTCCACTTTTGGGGGTTAATTGGAGATTAATCCTCCCAGGGAGGGCTGGGAAGGTGGCTCAGTGGTAGAATGCTTGCCTTGCATGCATGAGGCCCTGGGTTCAATTCCTCAGCACTACATAAACAAAAAAAAAAGAAAAAAGCTGGAAGTGGGGCTGTGGCTCAAATGGTAGAGCGATAGCCTTGAGCTGAAGAGCTGAGGGACAGCGCCCAGGCCCAGAGTTCAGGCCCCACGACTTGGACCCCCCAAAAAAAAAAAAAAAGTCTCAGGGATTTTCCTGCCTAGGCTGGTTTTGAACTGTGGTCCTCAGATCTCAGCCTCCTGAGTAGCTAGGATTACAGGTGTGAGCCACCGGCACCCGGCTAGGATTGGAATTCTTTTTTTTTTTTTTTTTTTTTGGGGTCCGGTCGTAGGGCCTGAACTCTGGGCCTGGGCGCTGTCCCTCAGCTCTTCAGCTCAAGGCTAGCGCTCTACCACTTGAGCCACAGCGCCACTTCCGGCTTTTTTTTCCCGCTTATGTGGTGCTGAGGAATCAAACCCAGGGCCTCATGCATGCAAGGCAAGTGCTCTACCACTGAGCCATCTTCCCAGCCCAGGATTGGAATTCTTGATGTGATGCTTTCACTCATTGGCTGATACTCTGCCACCTGAGCCACACATCCAACCCCTTCTTTTTTTTATTTATTTTTTATTTTTTTTGGGTCCAGTCGTGGGGCCTGAACTCTGGGCCTAGGCACTGTCCTTCAGCTCTTCAGCTCAAGGCTAGCGCTCTACCACTTGAGTCACAGCACCACTTCCGGGTTTTTTCTTTTTGCTTATGTGGTGCTGAGGAATCGAACCCAGGGCTTCAGGCAAGCAAGGCAAGCGCTCTACCACTGAGCCAACTTCCCAGCCCATCCAACCCCTTCTTTAAATTTTTTGTTGTTGTTACTGGTCCTGAGGCTTGAACTAAGGTCCTGGGCACTGTCTCTGAGCTTTTTCATCAAGGGTAGCTCTTTACCACTTTAAGCCACAGTACTGCTTCTGGTTTTCTAATAGTTAATTGGAAATAAGGGCTAGCTTCAAATCTGATCCTCAGGTGTCAGGCTCTTTAAATATATATCAAGGGCTGGGAAGGTGGCTCAGTGGTAGAGCGCTTGCCTTGCATGCATGAGGCCCTGGGTTCGATTCCTCAGCACCACATAAGCAAAAAGAAAAAAGCCGGAAGTGGCGCTGTGGCTCAAGTGGTAAAGCGCTAGCCTTGAGCTGAAGAGCTGAGGGACAGTGCCCAGAGTTCAGGCCCCACGACCGGACCCCCCCCCCCCCAAAAAAAAAAATTCTTACTCTAATTCTGGATGGTCATGTAACAGTCTAGTGAAATTTTTCAGGTACTGGGAAAACTTTTGTTATCCGTTTTTGTTTAGGTTAGAATGAACAGGGAGTTAGATGTTCTTTGAATTACTTAGATGTGTAGCCTTCTGGTCTGAGACTGTTGGGGAGTATGTAACATGTCAGAAAAGGGCACATTTCTGCTCTTTGGCTACTAATAGAAATCTAGTGATGCCAAGATGGGACTGGAGCACTGCTGAGAGGAGAGACTACAGATAGGGGCTGAGCCTGGCATAGGCAGCTTCGTTCAGCATCTGTCCACAGTGTAGTTGTTAGGTTCATCAGCAGGATTTCTCCTTTTGCTGATTTCTGATAGGAAGAGAAGAATGAATGAAGTATACATGCATGGAGAGAGGTGAGATTGCAATGACTGGAGAGTATGAACCAACAGTTAAAACACCGTGGCCTGGGGCTGGGAAGGTGGCACAGTGGTAGAGCGCTTGCCTTGCATGCCTGAGGCCCTGGGTTCGATTCCTCAGCACCACATAAGCAAAAAGAAAAAAAGCCGAAAGTGGCGCTGTGGCTCAAGTGGTAGAGCGCTAGCCTTGAGCTGTAGAGCTGAGGGACAGCGCCCAGGCCCAGAGTTCAGGCCCCACGACCGGACCCCCAAAAAACAAAACAAAACACCGTGGCCTAAAAATTATTCTATTAAGTCCAAATAGTCTATGCCCCTAAAAGTCCTGGTGATTTCTCCTTCAATAATACCCTTGGATTAGCTCCTGAAATCCTTGACCTCAAACTTTTTTTTCCGTGCCAGTCCTTGTGCTTGAACTCAGGGCCTGTGCTCTGTCTGAGTCTCTGTGCTCAAGGCTAGCACTTTACCACTTGAGCCAAAGCACCACTTCCGGCTTTTTGTTTATATGGTACTGTGGAATTGAACCTAGGGCTGCATGCGTGCTAGGCAAGCACCCTACCACCAAGCCACATTCTCGTTCCAACCTCTAACTCTTTGCCAAACATGTCTCTTACAAGGAAAAAAGAGAGTGGCAGGTTGTGGGACACCCACTCTGAATGTCCCCTGTTAACTCGGCCTAGTTCTCCCCTCACTGAAACTAAGTATCCATGTTGTACCTAGACTATCTGAGCTACTCAATTAAAACTCTGTGTGTGGGTTTGGGGGCTTGAACTCGGGTATGGGTGCTGCCTCTGAGCGTCTTTTGCTTAAAGGTAACACTCTGCACCACTTGAGCTCCATCTGTGGCCTTCCGGCGGTGAATCACAGATAGAATCCTCATAGTCTGGCTTCCAGCCGTGCTGCTCAGATCTCAGCCTGGTGAGCGGCTAGGATTACAGGCGTGAGCCACAGGCGCCCGGCTCGTCTTCCACTCTGGAGAAGGGGTCTCAGACGCTGTCTACTCTGCCTATAGAGGAAACTACCGCCAACGGAGTGGCTCCAAACAGGACTCCACTCTCGCACACACTCGGCCGGACTTCGCATGCACACAGACAGGCTGAGAAGTCCTGCCCATCAGGGGGCCCCCCCAGCCCGGCCAGACGCGCTCCAGCTCCCAGCTCCCAGCTCCCAGCTCCCAGCTCCCAGCTCCCAGCTCCCGGGCCGCACGGGGCCCTGCGGAGTCGCCCCTCCGGAATCCCAGAGGCACTTCCGGGAAGAAGTGCCGGTTCTCCGAAGCTGATTGGTTAGGATTTTGGCCCGCCTCCCACCTCTTGACGTTATTCCTCCTGCGCAAGCGTGCTGTCAGTGCTTTTCAACACCATGGCGGACCCAGAAGCCCTCGGCTTTGAGCACATGGGCCTGGACCCTCGGCTTCTGCAGGTATCGGGAAAGGTTGTGGGTTTCGAGTCCTATTCATTGGATCCCCACTGCACGTTGTCGCCCTACACGCCACCGAAACCTCCTTACTCCTCGTCTCTCACAGGCTGTCACGGATCTGGGCTGGTCGCGGCCTACGCTGATCCAGGAAAAGGCCATACCTTTGGCTCTGGAAGGGAAGGACCTTCTGGCCCGAGCCCGCACGGGCTCCGGGAAGACAGCTGCTTACGCGATCCCGATGCTACAGCAGCTGTTGCACAGGAAGGCGGTGGGTAGCGGGCAGGTTCGTGGGGAGGGAGAAGGCAAGCCTCATGGGAATGAAGATGTCGTGTGCCCAAGGGCTTCTTAGCCCCTTAACTATTCAGCCTTCCCCTCGAGAACCAGTTCCTGTTGTAGCATGCGCTCTGGACTGGAGCCTGGGTCTAATCCAGACAGACCCTTGGTATAATCTTGAACAAACCACTTTATATTTTTTCTTGTGTAAAAAGGGAGCAGACTCCTTTTGCATTGTGAAAGTCCAGCTTTAAATTACTTTTAAATTATGCTATTCCCATGTTGCAACTCCACAGGTTATTTTTTATTTTGCTAATCCTGGGGCTTTAGCTCAGGGCTTGGCACTATCCCTGAGCTGCTTTTGTTCAAGGCTAGCACTCTCCCCGTTGACCCACACAGCACTGCTTCTGGCCTTTTCTGTTTTTGTGGTATGAGGAATCAGACCCAAGGCTTCATGCATGCTAGGGATTCTATTGCTAAGTCACATTCCCAGCAAATAATTTTGAATGTCAGTGCCTGGGGAAAGTCCTGAATTATGTTTTGAGGTGGAGTGGAATGGTTGATGGTAACGCAGCTAGCTGGTTGTATTTCACTCTATGGGTCAAATTGGAAGAGATAGGGAAAAGCATCAGTGATAGGCGCTTCTAGCTGAAGTTTAACTTATGGTCTTACAGACAGGTCCTGTTGTAGAACAGGCTGTGAGAGGCCTTGTTCTTGTTCCTACCAAGGAGCTGGCACGGCAAGCCCAGTCCATGATTCAACAGCTGGCTGCCTACTGTGCTCGGGATGTGCGGGTGGCCAATGTCTCAGCTGCGGAAGACTCAGCTTCTCAGAGGTGGGTGAAAGCAATAGGGAACAAAGCTACACACACAGGAGAGAGAGAGAGAGAGAGAGAGAGAGAGAGAGAGAGAGAGAGAGAGAGAGAGAGAGAGAGAGAGAGAGAGAGAGTGTGTGTGTGTGTGTGTGTGGTGTGTATAGCAAGAGAATGGGCTGGCCCAAGGAAAGATTTCAGGACTTAAATTATTTCCTGAAAGTTACATTTTGTCACTTGCAGAGCTGTGCTAATGGAGAAGCCAGATGTTGTGGTGGGAACTCCATCCCGCATATTAAGCCATTTGCAGCAGAACACCTTGAAACTGAGAGACTCCTTGGAGCTGCTGGTAGTGGATGAGGCTGATCTTCTCTTTTCCTTTGGCTTTGAGGAAGAGCTCAAGAGTATTCTCTGGTAAGGAACAAGGGGTGTAGTAGTTCCTAGTGGATACATCTACAGGTAGCTACTTGGGATTGGAGAAGAATGGGTAGGAGTTCACCTTCAACAATTAGAGGCTCTGATTGCTGGAACCTGATAAGGCTGTTTTCTTTTAGTCACTTACCCCGGATTTATCAGGCTTTCCTCATGTCAGCTACTTTTAATGAGGATGTACAAGCACTGAAGGAGCTGGTTCTACACAACCCGGTAAGAGGCGCTGAGGGAGAGTCTGGAGCTATAATAGGCATGGGGATTGTCAGAGGACTTTGTCCTTCTCAGAGGAAGCTTTTGGTGTTTTGATTGGGACTATTGTCATTGGATGTGTCATTTTTGGTTCTAAGACATTTAAAGCCAATAATCATTTCTAAATGGCCTCAATTTAAACTGCACTTTGCCTAAAAGCCTAACCAGAAGCCCCTCTATCCCTAAGAGATTTCTGGTATAATCAGAATTGTAAGGCTAGTTTTCCCTTGATGTAACTTTTGCTCTTCAGAAGACCTATTGCTATTGGCTTTCCTTAGGTACCATTTTTTTGTCCAAATTTTCTTTACCCTAGGTGCTTAATAAATAGGTTCTGTATAGCACAATAGTTAAGGAACTTTGTCTCTGTCTCTGTTGTTCTCTCTCTCTCTTTCTTCCCCTCATGCTGATCCTGGGGTCTGACTTCAAAACCTAGATGCTGTCCTTCAGCTTTTGCTCAAGACTAGTTTTCTAGCCACACTTTGGGCTTTTTCTGAGTAGTTTATTGTAATTTTATGGACTTTCTTTCCCCTGCTTGAGCCTGAATTAAACCATGATCTTCAGATCTTGGCCTCTTGAATAATAGTTAGGTTTACAGGCATGAACTACCAGTGCTCAACTTGGCACTTTATATTTCTTAGGCTTAAATATAAAATTGAGGAATTTGGGTGCTCCAGAAATCATTAAAGATCTGTCTACCCTATGCTGAAATATCAGTGCTTTGGGTGGCAAGACAGTAGCCACAGCATCTCTGTCTTCACTTTTTCTCCTGATCATAGGCCTATCTTTTTTCCAGGTTACCCTTAAGTTACAGGAATCCCAGCTTCCAGGGGCAGACCAGTTACAGCAATTTCAGGTGGTCTGTGAGACTGAAGAAGATAAATTCCTGCTGCTCTATGCCCTCCTTAAGCTGTCATTGATTCGGGGAAAGTCCCTGCTGTTTGTCAACACTTTAGAGCGGGGTTATCGGCTTCGCCTATTCTTGGAACAGTTCAGCATCCCCTCCTGTGTGCTCAATGGAGAACTCCCGCTGCGCTCCAGGTTTGACAGGGTGTTGCTAGCAATAATTTAAAGATAGATAGAGGACCCAGTTGATGTGCCTATGTCTTTTTTTTTTTTGTCGTGGGGCTTGAACTCTGGGCTTAGGTGCTGTCCTTGTGCTCTTCAGCTCAAGGCGAGTACTCTACCGCTTGAGCCACAGCACCACTTCCGGTTTTCTAGCGGTTTATTGGAGACAAGAGTCTCACGAACTTTCCTGCCCGGGCTGGCTTTGAACTTCGATCCTCAGATCTCAGCCTCCTGAGTAGCTAGGATTACAGGTGTGAGCCACCAGCTCCCGGCTGCCTTTATTTATTTATTTTATTTTTTCACTTTTGTATTTTTCTTTTTTTTTTGTCAGTTGTGGGGCTTGAACTCTGGGCCTGGGTGCTGTCCCTGAGCTCTTCAGCTCAAGGCTATTGTTCTACCACTTGAACCACAGTGCAACTTTGGTTTTCTGGTGGTTCATTGGAGATAAAAGTCTCGTGGACTTTCCTGCCAGGGCTGGCTTTGAAGCACAATCCTCAGATCTCAGCCTTCTGGGTAGCTACCATTATAGGCATGAGCCACCAGCACCCGGCTTTTACTTTTTTTTTTTTTTTTGTCGTAGGGCTTGACTCTGGACCTGGGTGCTGTCCCTGAGCTCTTCAGCACAAGGCAAGCACTCTACCACCTGAGCCACAGCACCACTTCTGATTTTCTGGTGGTTAATTGGAGATCAGAATCTCACGGACTTTCCTGTTCAGGCTGGCTTTGAATTGTGATCCTTAGATCTCAGCCTTCTGAGTATCTAGGATTACAGGCATGAGCCACCAGTGCCTGGCTACTTTTATTTTTGTGCTGGTACTAGGTCTTCAACTCAGGGCCTGGGTTCTGTCCCTGGGTTTTTCCACTGAAGGCTAGCACTTTACCACTTAAGCTACAACTCCACTTCTGGCTTTCTGATGGTTAAGTGGAGATGAGAGTGTCACAGCCTGGGCTAGCTTCAAACCTTGATCTCAGCCTCCTGAGTGTCTTGGATTATACCAGTATCCAGCTGATGTCCTTATTTCTTCAGCAGTTAGGGGCTAGGCTCTGAAGAACTGATGATTATTTCTCTCAGCTTTGAAGTATATATCATTACTCCATTTTCACCTGAGGTAATTGAGGCCCACAGAAAAGGAGAAAAAGAGATTAAGAGAAGGAAAAAGTAGGAAAGAGAAAAGGTTATTGAATGGTGCCAAGGATGGGAGGTACCTCCACTGTGCTCTGCTGAGCTGACCTCTCTGTTTGGCCTGCAGATGCCACATCATCTCACAGTTCAACCAAGGCTTCTATGATTGTGTCATAGCAACAGATGCTGAAGTCCTGGGGGCCCCAGCCAAGGACAAGCGGCAGGGCCGACGGTCCAAAGGAGACAAGTGAGTCCACATTTCTCTTCTTGCCTCAGCCCTTCCCAGAGAGGCACTTGTTTATCTATTTCTTTTTTTGTTGTTGTTGGTCAGGGCTTGAACTCAGGGCTTGAGCACTGTCCCTGATCTTTTGTTCTCAAGGCTGATACTCTACCACTTGAGCCACAGCTCCACTTCCAGCTTTTTTGGTGATTAATTATAGAGATGAGCCTCACAGACTTTCCTGCTCTGGCTGGCTTCAAATTGTGATCCTTAGATCTCAGCCTCCTAAGTAGTGAGGATTTTGCTTGCGCCACCAGCACCTGGCCCAGAAAGGCTTTTGAAAGACTGAAGACAGACTCCTTGGCACTAAAGAAACCCACAGGCCCTTTGTCACTGTGGATTTGGAGAAGAAAGTGAGGGGACATGTGCTGCATATATGAGGGAAGTATGATGGATCCAGCTAGGTTGGAGTCAAGGCATTGCTATTGTACAGGGGTGACTGTCCAGCTTGCAGGGAATATGTTTCTAATGGGAAAAGGGAAGTTCTCCTGGTCTGTCTGCCTGGAATTTGTCACCTTGTGGAGCAGGTCACCTTGTAAGGGAAGAGTCATACTATTGCCCCAGAGCTAAGATCACAGCAAACATTTGGACATGTTTTCTTGTCAGGCCACTCAAGATACCCTAACTCCTAGAATAGTTCTAATGTAGAATAGTCTAGTGTATGCCAGGGTCTTAACTTCAGGCTTAGTTTAGAGGCATTTTTGCTGATTAAGCTTGAGAACACCTTTGCAGAAAAGAAGGGTCTAGCTGAAATGGAGCTAATTCCACAGGGCTTCTGATCCAGAGGCTGGTGTGGCACGGGGTATAGATTTCCACCATGTGTCTGCTGTGCTCAACTTTGATCTTCCTCCTACCCCTGAGGCTTATATCCATCGAGCTGGCAGGTAGGAGGGAGGAAGTGTGGTGGGCATGCTGGCGGATGGACTGGGTGGGCACAGTCTACAGGCCAGAGATGCAGGCTGTCTTTTTCCTTTGCAGAACAGCACGAGCCAACAACCCAGGCATAGTATTGACCTTTGTGCTACCCACAGAGCAGTCCCACTTGGGCAAGATTGAGGAGCTGCTTAGTGGAGGTGAGAGCCCTGGATTTCATGGCCACAGGCCTGGGTCAGAGCCAGAGTTCAGCTGAGACTTAAGACAGGAGGAGCAGTAGTGACACTGTTAAAAAACACAAGCATTCAATAGCAATGGCATCTCAAACCTATAATGTTAGCTACTTGAGAAATGGGGACTGGGGGATCACAATTTGAGGCTAAAAAATTTGAGCATAAAAAAGTTAAAAAGACTCAATCTTTTTTTTTTTTTTCTTCAAATTCTTTATTGTGGTTAAGTGATTACATAATTTTCCAAATTTCATAGTATTGTAGGATAGTGATGCTTAGTTAAAGTCACAAAAACATTCTAACTTTCATGGGGCAAATTGTCTATCATGGTCTATAACATTTATGAGTTCTATGAGCTTTGCAATACACATTTCTTCCACATTGGGTGGTATGTACACTTCTTTTGTTTTGCACAGCATCAGCTGTTCCTTCTTTCCCACTTGTTCCCTCCCTCCCACCGCTGACATTGAGTTGCTTAGTTCATTTTGATCAATGAAAAAGACTCAGTCTTAACTAATGGCTCAGTGTTGTGCTCTCCTGTCATCCCAAGCTATAGAGAAAGCATAATGGCTTAGCATAGTGACAACACACCTGTCATCCTCAAAGGACATTGCTTTTTGTGCAACCAAAGGAAGCACAAATGAGATTGCAGTCTAGGTCAGTCCAAGCATAAAGTGAAACCCTATCTTGAAAATAATAAATGCAAAATGGGGTTAGTAGGGTAGCTCAAGTGATAAAGGGCTTGCTTAGCCATCTCAAGGCCCTGAGTCCAAACCATAGTACTACCACCAAAAAAAAAGTCTACAGTAGTAATGGCAGGTCACATCCCTGTTCATCCCTTTGTGGCAGGTACTGTCTCCAAGTCTTACTATTTATCCTGTGGTCAAGGAGTGACCAACTAGATACACTTCTCTGACCAGCTCCAAGGCACTTGGTGTTCCTGAAGTCTGACATCATCATGGTAGCCTTACAGCTAGAGGGAGAGGAGTGTGTGCTGGCACACAGGGCTCAGGGACCCACACTCCCTGCTCGTAGGCACAAATGTAATGATGCTAAGTGTTTGGCACCTTGGAGAAGTGGCAAGTTTGACATCTCAGTTTAGCCTTACCTCAGGGAAGAGGAGCAGAAGGCTGCCAGTGGAGGCCTCTCCCACATCTTTACCTGTTCTTCCTTCCCAGAGGGTGAGGCCCGGGTATTGCTTCCTTACCAGTTCCGGATGGAGGAGATTGAGGGCTTCCGCTATCGCTGCAGGGTAAGCTGTGCTTCATGAGGAGGGGAGAGGATGTGGGGGAGGGACTCTGGTCCAACAATCATATCCCATTGCTGCGCATGCCGTATAAAGGAGGATGGGTGACCTGGCCACTTGACTTTCAATGTCTACCTTCAGGATGCCATGCGCTCCGTGACCAAACAGGCCATCCGGGAGGCAAGATTGAAGGAGATTAAAGAGGAGCTTCTGCACTCTGAGAAGCTCAAGGTGAGAGGATGGGAAAGGGAGAATCAGTTTAGGAGGCTGTCTGAACTCTCAGTGGTAAGTAGCCAAGAACCTGGCTGTGTGCTGGTTACCAGCACAGGTGGAGAGAAAACTGGCCAAGAACCATTAAAGGGAACTAGTCTCTTTGGCTAAATGGAGAACTGGTATAACCCTGAGGTGGATACAGAATTTCAAGTTCTTTTTTTTGGTAGGTGGGCATGAACTCGCGCTTGGGTGCTGTCCCTGTTTTCTTCAGCTCAAGGCAGCTGAAGCTAACACTTGAGCCACAGCGCCACCTCTGGTTTTCTAGTGGTTTATTGGAGATAAGAGTCTCATGGACTTTCCTGCCCAGGCTGGCTTTGAACCATGATCCTCAGATTTCAGCCTCCTGAGTAGCTAGGATTACAGGCATGAGCCACCAGTGCCCGGCAGAATTTCAAGTTCTTGCTGGGCAGTGGTGTCTTGAGATTTAATCCTAGCTACTCAGGAAGCTGAGATCTGAGGATTGAAGTTCAAAGCCAGCCCAGGCAGGAAAATCTGGGAGACTCCTATCTCCAATTACTACCAAAAAGCCAGAAGTGAATCTGTGGCTCAAGTGGTAGAGCTCCAGCCTTGTGTGAAAAAGCTAAGGGCAATGCCCAGTCTCTTGAGTTCAAGCCCCTGTATTGGCACAAAAAAATGATCACGTTCTCATTTGCTCAGTACACTAGTGAGTGTGCATGGGTCCTACTCTTTGTGGCATGGAGGGGAATGTGGACATGTCACAGGCATGGATGTCCTTGTATATGCTATAGGACTCAGAGCAACTAGCATCCCATTACCTCTGGGCTGGGACAATGACTGGAAGAAAAAAATGGAAGGAGAACTTTCCATGATGTCTGTCAGTTGGCTGTAGGGCTTGAGCTCTGGGCCTGGGTGCTGTTCCTGAGCTCTTCAGCCCAAGGCTAGCACTCTTGAGCCACAGTGCCACTTCCCATTTTCTGGTGGTTAATTGGAAATAAGAATCTCACGGGGCTGGGAAGGTGGCTTAGTGGTAGAGTGCTTGCCTAGCATGCATGAAGCCCTGGGTTCGATTCCTCAGTACCACATAAGCAGTAAAAGCTGGAAGTGGAGCTGTGGCTCAAGTGGTAGAGTACTAGCCTTGAGCACAGAGAGGCTCAGGGACAGAGCCCTGATCCTGAGCCTCACAAAAAGTCTCAGAGACATTCCTGTCTGGGCTGGCTTTGAACCACAATCCTCAAATTTCAGCCACCTGAGTAACAAGGATTACAGCATGAGCCCCTGGTGCCCAGCGCAATTTTCATGCCTTTTAAACTCTAAACCACATTGATATATTTTCCTTTCAAAAACTCACTGTGAATTACAAAGAAAAAAAAAAATACTAGCTAAGTTCTGGTGGCTCATGCCTGTAATCCTAGCTACTCAGGAGACTGAGATTCGAGGATCATGGTTTGAAGCCTGCCCAGGCAGGAAAGTCCAAAACACTTTTATTTCCAATAAACTACCTAGAAAAAAAAACAGAAATGGTGCTGTTGCTCAAGTGATAGAGTGCCAGCCTTGAGAAAAAGAATCTCACAGTGCCTAAGACCTGAGATTAAGCCCCAAGGATTGGCACCAAAAAAAACCCAAAACAGTGCAGACTCTACTGAGATCTCTCTCTCTCTCTTTCTCCCTCTCCCTCCTCCTCTCTCTCCTCTCCTCTCTCTCTTCCCTCTCTCTCTCCTCTCTCTTCTCTCTCTCTCCTCTCTCTCTCTCTCTCTCTCTCTCTCTCTCCTGTCAGACATACTTCGAAGACAACCCCAGGGACCTCCAGCTGCTGCGGCATGACCTGCCCTTGCACCCTGCAGTGGTGAAGCCTCACCTGAGCAATGTCCCGGAGTACTTGGGTGAGTCACTGCAGAGTTAGGGCAATGTGATGGGTGAGATGGCCACTGTGCCTGCCTCATGATTAGGGAAGCTAGGAGAGGGACAGGACCTGGACTCCTGGGGCAGAGCAGTCTATATGGACACAAGCTCTCCTGGAGGATAGTCCACCTCCCCTCCCATAGCGTAGCTGTGAGCAGGAACAGATCCAGGGACAGAGCCCAGCAGTCTCTGGGTAGTGCCTGAATGATTGGATGGCATGCTTTGTGCTGAAGGTAGGAATTTTCTTTTTGTCTTGTTTATCTGTCTTTAGGAGGGTAAGAGGAGGCACAGAAATGGAGGGATAAAGGGTGAATTAATGCAGCAGTGGTACTCACTACACACTATGTTGAAAATGAACTATATAACTGTGGGTGGGAATGGGAAATGGTGTGAGGGAAGGGGTTATATTGTCCAAAAACAAATGCACTTTTCTTTTTGTCAGTCCTGGAGCTTGAACTCTGGACCTGGGCACTGTCCCCCAGCTCTTCAGCTCAAGGCTTGTGCTCTACCACTTGAGCCACAGTGCACTTCTGTTTTTTTTTTTTTTTTGTCGGTCATGGGGCTTGAACTCTGGGCTTGGGTGCTGTTCCTCAGCTTTTCAGCTCAAGACGAGAGCTCTACCACTTGAGCTACAGTGCCACTTCCGGTTTTCTGGTGGTTTTTATTGGAGATCGGGGTCTCACGGTCTTTCCTGCCTGGGCCGACTTTGAACCATGATCCTCAGATCGCAGCCTCCTGAGTAGCTAGGATTACAGGAGTGAGCCACCAGCACAGGCTCACTTCTGGTTTTTTGAGTGGTTCATTGGAGATAAGAGTCTCATGGACTAAAGCCTGGGCTGGCTTTGAACCATGATTCTCAGATCTCAGCCTCCTGGGTAGCTAGGATTACAGGTGTGAGCCACCATCTCCCAGCTTGCCCATCACTTTTATAACAACAACAACAACAACCAAAAAAAACGTAAAATAAAAAGATTGAGCTGGACGCTGGTGGCTCACGCCTGTCATCCTAGCTACTCAGGAGGCTGAGATCTGAGGATCGCGGTTCAAAGCCAGCCTGGGCAGGAAAGTGTGTGAAACTCTTATCTCCCATAAACGACTAGAAAACTGGAAGTGGCGCTGTGGCTCAAGTGGTAGAGTGCTTGCCTTGAGCTGAAGAGCACAGGGACAGTGCCCAAGCCCAGAGTTCAAAGCCCCACGACTGACCAAAAAAACAAAAAGGATTGAAGAGGCTGGAGACTGGTGGCTCATACTTGTAATTCTAACTACTCAAGAGCAGGAGGTTGCGATCTGAAAACTATGGTGTTAAGCCAGTTTGGACAGGAAAGTCTTTGAGCCTCTGTCTGTCTGTCTCTTTGTCTGTCTGTCTGTCTGTCTGTCTCTCTCTCTCTGTGTCCTCTGTCTCTGTCTCTGTCTGTCTGTCTATCTGTCTGTCTGTCTCTCTCTCGCTCGCTCGCTCGCTCTCTCTCGCTCTCCTTTCTCGTCTCTTTTTTTGGTTGGTTATGGGTCATGAACTCAGCCTGGAGGGTGTTTTTTTACCCAAGGCTAGTGCTCTACCACTTTGAGCCACTTCTGATTTTCTGGTGGTTAATTGGAGATAAGAGTTCCACAGACTTTTCCTGCCTGGGGCGGCTTTGAACCACAATCTTCAGATCTCAGCCTCCTAAATAGGTAAGATTATAGGTGAGAGCCACCAGCGCCCAGCTATCTGTGAGACTCTTTATCTGTAATTACCAAAAAGACAAAAAAGCTGGAAGTAGAACTGTGGCTCAAGTGATAGCAAAAAATAAAAAAGCTCAAGGACAGTGCTTGGCCCTGAGTTCAAGCCCCAGGACTGACACACTGTCTTTCTGCCACCACCACCACCTCCCCTATCCCCCAAAAGAAAAAATTAGAAGGGGAGGAATAGCCAAGACTTGCCCTTGAGCATCAAATGCAGATCTCCCCTACCATGCATAGGTTTTCGTCTGCCTAGCTTAGAGCCAGCTGGCAAGTGTGCTGCTTTAGAGGTGACAGGAAGGTGCAGGTGGGATATACCAGGGCAGAAAAGGCTTACGTCATAGGAAAAGGGGGGCTTCTGGTTCAGGCCCTAAAATACTAGGAGGGTCCCTTTGGCCTAAGGTACCATCATAAGAACAAAGTTGCTCACTAGGAGGATATGGCCAGGAGGTTTGGAAGGGCAAGGGTAGGTGGGCAAGGTGTTAAGTGTGGTCTAGCCTGGGGAGAGGGCCTAGGAGATAGTGGGGAAAAGGACAGCACCAATGTCCAGTAAGGCTAAGATGGAGTAGGAGAGGGCCGGGGGCAGCAGTAGGGCCAGGGCAGAAATCACTTTTAGATTATTCTGTATTTTCTTCTCCTTCCCTGCTTTCCTTCCATATTCCCTCCCCTTCCCAGCTCTCTCTGCTGCCCTCCAACCCTCTTTTTCTTGGTTTAGAAAACAGTGATTTAGGCTGGGAAGGTGGCTCAGTGGTAGAGCGCTTGCCTTGCATGCCTGAGACCCTGGGTTCGATTCCTCAGCACCACATAAGCAAAAAGAAAAAAGCCGGAAGTGGTGCTGTGGCAGTGGTAGAGCGCTAGCCTTGAGCTGAAGAGCTGAGGGACAGCACCGAGGCCCAGAGTTCAGGCCCCATGACCGGACCAAAAAAATAAAAAATATAAAAATAAAAAACTGATTTAGACAGTGGATTGAGGAGCTCACATTGTTCTTTATGCTTATCTGGTAGCTGATAGCTGGATATCATGAGCTGTGGAAGGCTTCTGGGGGTTTGGGGGGCCCTCCTGGCTTTAGAACCAAATGTTATGGAGTAGGGGTAGCAGTGGAGGCTAGAGCTTGAGGGTTTGGGGTGAGGATGCCACTAAAGCCCCACATCTCTTCCAGTCCCTGCCCCTCTACGTGGTCTCATACAACTTCGCAAGAGGCGGAAGAAGCTGTTCTCCAGTAGGAAAGCTAAGGTATGTCTCCTGGGCCACCTTACCCCTTGGTTGTCACTAGGAAATATAGGTGCTTTGCTCTCAGAAGGGGGTAGGACTTACAGGAACCAGGGTATGAGCTGGAGGTACTTGCACTGCTGCCACAGGTGCTGCTCTGCCTCCTCTGCCCTCCTTCGGCTAGTTTCATTGGTTCATGGCATGGGGACCTTGCCAAGTGCCAGCACCACCAACTCTATCTGTCTCCATTTGGACCGTCTGTCTGATTCTCCCAAGTAACCTACACATTTGTCTTTACAGAAGGCGAAGACCCAAAATCCACTGCGCAGCTTTAAGCACAAAGAAAAGAAACCTAGACCCACAACAGTGCCCTCCTGAAGTTGTTTCTTGGCCTTGCTGGTGTGGGCTTCTCTACCTAAACCAGGCACACTCTGGTGCTCTGCCTGGAGAGACTGAAATCTGGGGTGCCATCGTGCCTGATAACAGAATAAAGGTTCCAGCTGGCCCAGGTGGTGCCTCTGGCCTGTTGGAAAAGACTATTTCCTCACGCCTCTGGAATTGGAAGACTAGAAAATAGCAATTCTTGGCCCTGTTGCTGTATGTGGTGCTGCATGCAGCCCACAGAGGTTAGCTGTGCGAAACTGACCCCAGGACAGCTCTGAGAAGCCCATGCAGTATGAGGCTGTGGGGGCCCAGAGCCATCAGCCCAGCTCCTGTACTCCTACTATCTACTCCAACTATCAGGTTGACCAGTGCACCTCCAACACATCAACACAGAGATGCAGAGGGAAGAGTTGCCCATTCCTTAGAAGAGTCAGAACGCAGCTCCTATCTGTGTTTCAGATGTAGAGGTAGTGTAACACACACATACACACACTCCTGCCATGTCCTACACACACACACACATACACAAACACACACACCTGCCATGTCCTGGTCTGAGCAGCTAGCTTCCTTCTCAGCCTGAAACCTCTGCTGGCTTTTGGACCAAGCTACCTCACCCTGCCCTGCTGGAGGGTCTGGGGCATGAGTGCTCCAAGTTTGGTGTCTTGTCCATGTCTGGTGAAACATTATACACAAACTATTCCCTTGATTTTTGTCTCAGATGTTATTATTACTTAAGTCACCCTACTGAGGGCTTATATCTTAGAACCACTCCAATGGAGAGGCTGGGTTTCCTCCAGGGAGATTTTGTCTGTGGGAAGGAATTGGATGAGCATAGAAATGGCATTCTACTGTGTTTTAGTGGGGTCAGCCAAGGTCCAGACTGAGCTGAGAAAGCTGGTGTGGCAACTATTAATTGCCTGAGTAGGTTTCTTCCAGTTTTGTTTTTGTGTGTGTGTGTGTGTGTGTGTGTGTTGGGTGGGGGGAAGGGAGTGCTGCTTGCTCAGGGTCTGAGCTCTTTCACTCAAGGCTAGCACTCTACCACTTCTTTATTTTGCTGGGGGAGGAGGGATCTGGTCATGGGGCCTGAACTCTGGGCCTGGGCACTGTCCCTCAGCTCTTCAGGTCAAGGCTGGCACGCTACCACTTGAGCCATAGCACCACTTCCGGCTTTTTTTATTTTCTGCTTATGTGGTGCTGAGGAATCGAACCCAGGACCTCATGCATGCAAGGCAAGCACTCTACCATTGAGCTACCTTCCCAGCCCTCTAACACTCCTTTGAGCCACAGCTCCACGTCTGGTTTTCCAGTGGTTAGTTGGAGATTCTCACAGATTGTCCTTCCCAGGCTTGCTTTTTACCTCGCTCTTCCAATCTCAGCCTCCTGAGTAGCTCAGATTACAGGCATATGGGAAGTAGTTCAAGTTCAGAAATTTCCTGGTGAATGTAAGGACACAGAGCAGGTGAGACTGGCCAGGGTTTCTAGTTGGCATGTCCAGCAGTCTAGGGCCACTTGGCAAGGCTGTCTACCTGTTGGAGTAACTTAACGCTGTTACTTGCTCTCACCACATGGGGGCAGTGTGGCCATATGTGCTGGGGTTGGCCCATGTCTTACCAGCAGATTCTACACATGGGATCTGAATTGACAGAGAGAATGGGAAGAGTCTCATGCCTGACATATGGGAAGAAATAGGTACTCAGGGTTGATAGGGCTGCCTGTTGCACCCAGTCTGAATGAAGCCTGTTGCTTTATCATACAAACATGACCAATACACCAGCCAGGACTTACATGAGGAGTTCATGGGCTGAGCACTGGAATAGGCCATATGGGCCTGGAATGGAGATGGCTGTGGAGGGGGAGGGGTTGGGGGGGGGTTCTAGAGGCCCGAGGCTTCACAGAGCAGCAGAGAAGCCAAGACAGTCTGCAGGCTGCAGGGGCCTCTAAGGGAAGGAGAAGTTGAGGGACATCCTTGTCCCAGGTTGGTCCATTTTTCCCCATACCTGAGTCTGGATGATGATTCTTTGGGTGTCTGGACCATGTCCAGGGATCTGGAATTGGGAGGACAAGGCAGGCTGCATGCAGAGACATCATATGAACCATGATGCCCTTCAGGATCCTGAACTCTGACATGGAAGTAGAAAATAGACCAACCAATGCAAAGTCCAGGAGATGGTCATGCTGGGAAGCCCAGGACACTGCAGGTCTCATCTGGTTGGAGTAGATGCTGGCTTCTTTGAGGAAGTAGGGTTAAGCTGAGACCAGAGGGTGAGAAGGGAGAACTGCATATGCAAATTGCTTGTGGTAGAAGGAGCCAACACATTTAAGTTGGGAAGACAGTGGTTTTCATCAAAGTGTGATAGGAAAAACTCACCAGTGTACTATGGGCAATTTAATCCAGTCAGATTAAAAAAGCAAAAGGACTTGAAAAGGCACAAGGCATTTTAAGAGGGAGAACCTGATCAGATAGGGAAGGTGGTATGAGAACAGGGTGTGTCTGGAACCTGTGGACCTTAGAATGTGGAAGGTCCAGATTGGTTCCACCTGCTAATTGCCTGCCTCCAGCTGCCAAGGATTAATGACTCAGCTTTTGGGGAATGCATTAAGGGACTTTGGCCTCAGGATTAGTGTCCCCAAGAGATAAAGAATTTCCATACAAGGGCTGGGGTTGTGGCTTAGTGGTAGAGCGCTGGCCTAGCATGCAAGAAGCCCTGGGTTCGATTCCTCAGTACCACATAAACAGAAAAAGCAGGAAGTGGCGCTGTCGCTCAAGTGGTAAAGTGCTAGCATTGAGCAAAAGAAGCTTGGGGACAGTGCCTAAGCCCTGAATTCTAGCCCGAGGACTTAAATAAATCCATCCAGGAGGTGTAGATCCTCTTCTCAGAATGATGTACCCCTAGCAAAGAGAGAAGGGGCTGCAAGTTGCTTCTTTTCCATTTGAATTTTTTTTTTTTTGTGCCAGCCCTGGAGCTTGAACTCTGGGCCTGGGCACTGTCCCTGAGCTTTTGCTCAAGGCTAGTGCTCTACCACTTGAGCCACAGCTCTACTTCCAACTTTTTGGTACTTAATTGAAGATAAGTCTCACACACTTTCCTGCCTGGGCTGGCTTTGAACTGAGATCATCAGGTCTTAGCCTTCTGAGTAGGATTACAGATGTGAGCTATTGGTGCTCTTTTCCATTTATAACTGCTTTTTATCTCATTCACTTTTTTTGTTATTGCATACTAATTATACAAAAGAATGAGTTAGGCCATTTTCATTCATGTGCATAATATCTTTTCCATTTTTTTAAAAACAAGGACAAGGGAAGAAGTGGCTATTCATCAGAGGCAGTGAGGTGCCCTGGCCAGGTAGACCTACTGAGTGTCAGGTGCCATGCTGGGCACATGTTCAAGATTCTTCCTGAAATAGTTTGGAGCTGGACAGATCCAGCCTTAGCCCCCTACAAAGCTACCAAGAAGCAGTGTGGGGGCCAGGGGGGATACAAATGAACTATAAAACAAGACATATCAAAAATATCTTCGAGGAAGTGGCGCTGTAGCTCAAGTGGTAGAGCGCTCGCCTTGAGCTGAAGAGCTGAGGGACAGCGCCCAGGCCCAGAGTTCAAGCCCCACGACCAACCAAAAAAAAAAAAAAAATATCTTCGAGGGCTGGGAATGTGGCCCTGGGTTTGATTCCTCAGTACCACATAAACAAAAAGCCAGAAGTGGTGCTGTGGCTCAAGTAGTAGAGCACTAGCCTTGAGCATAGAGAAGCTCAAGGACAGTGCCCAGGCCCTGAATTCAAGCTCCGGGACAGGCAAAAAAAAAAAAAAAAGGCTTCCAATGAACATCCCAACAGATGCTGATTCCGTGGTAGAGCAGCTTGTCTCCCTGTGCCCAGGATGCTGTTTGCAGCCACAGTGGCTGGGCTAGACTATCACCATATTTCGGCAGGAGCAGGGATTGAATTCTGTTATTGCCCTTGCGAGGCGAGCACTCTGCCACTGAGCTATGTCCCAATTTTTCTTTGCTGACTTCAGGTTTTCTCCTCTAAGGCTGCTCTGGATAAAAAGGCTTTCAGAATGCCAAGTGCCAGTGGCTTATGCCTGTAATCCTACTCAGGAAGCTGAGATCTGAGGATTGTGGTTCAAAGCCAGCCTGGGCAATAAGGTCCATGAGACTCTTACCTCCAATTAATCATCAGAAACCAGAAGTGGCACTGTGGCTCAAGTGGTAGAGTGCTCACCTTAAGCTGAAGAGCTGAGGGACAGCGCCCAGGCCCAGAGGTCAAGCCCCATGGCTGACAAAAAAAAAAAAGCCTTTCAGAGAGCTGGGTGCCAGTGTAATCTTAGCTATTCAGGAGGCTGAGATCTGAGGATCTCGGTTCAAAGCCAGCCTGGGCAGGAAAGTCCGTGAAACTTTTTTTTTTTTTTTTTTTTTGGGGGTCCGGTCGTGGGGCCTGAACTCTGGGCCTGGACGCTGTCCCTCAGCTGTTCAGCTCAAGGCTAGTGCTCTACCACTTGAGCCACAGCACCACTTCCAGCTTTTTTCTTTTTGCTTATGTGGTGCTGAGGAATCGAACCCAGGGCCTCATGCTTGCAAGGCAAGCACTCTACCACTGAGCCACCTTCCCAGCCCGTCCTTGAAACTCTTATCTCAAATAAACCACCAGAAAACTGGAAGTGGTACTGTGGCTCAAGTGGTAGAGCACTAACCTTGAGCTGAAGAGCTGAGGGACAGGGCTCAGGCCCAGAGTTCAAGCCCCATGACCGACCAAAAGAAAAAAAAGCTCAGGAACAGTGCTCAAACCCTGAGTTCAAGCCACAAGACTGGCACACAAAGACCTTCACTGGGCTTTTCAGAACTGTTATGAAACCCTAATGACATAGCAGTGGATATATGAGGCTCTGGTGTAGTCCAGGCACCTGATGCCAGTTAGGGTCCAACTCTGTGCCAACCTCCTGCCTGCCTCTTGAATGAGGCCACACAGAATGTCCTAAAACTCCTAGGCACTCTGAATAGCATCAGAATCTTCTAAAATACAGGCACTTGGGGCTGGAGATGATCTGGTCCGTGGTAGAGCGCTTGGATGTCTGAGGCCCTGGGTTCTCTCCCTACTGCCACAAACCAATGCAAACCCAGATGCTTTTCTGCAGGCAGAGCTTGGGATTC